CACGACACCGTACGCAAGATCATTCACGCGGAGACAGTCGAACGAACCGGTTAGCGGCCCGCGATAATCAGCGATCGACACCATCGCGTGATCGCTGAATCCTCGCGATTTGCCATCGATGCTCGGTTAACCGGCGAGACGCGATATCTCTCGCGATTCACACATGAGATCTGTACGTCCAAGGATCAAAGCGCTCGTTGACTTGAAATTACTTCTTCGTTGCGATAATTACGGACGATAATTGCTTCTTTGATCGATGCTCGGACATATCTCGTGTCCTCGCAGTGAATCTCTCGTCGCTTCAAGTATAATTTGTTGGCTGCTTCCAAGTTGAAAGAACGAAATAATACACAAAATATTGAATCGAGTGCTTTAACTAGTACTTATCAGTGATTTATTAATACTACTAATTTATATATTTTTTACGGAATTTATAAATGATAATACATGTGCGACAGTGAATTTTTAATTATTTTCAGACGACTGTGTCTCGACTCCCCGTTAATTCAGTTGCGTTTACTGTACAATGTCGATGTTAAAATGTATAACTTTTAAATTTTTCGTTCATTAACGGAAATGTATAATCTCAAAATTCTTCTTTTATCGACGGAATCATACAAATGCTGGTCAGAATGCAGAACTTTAAGTCGAATATCATCGCGATACGTTTAATTGAAGAATTAAATATCAATGAATCTTATCCGTGCTTAATTATATTGTCATATTTACTCATCGACAGTTTAAATTCGACATTTATACATCGGCGATTTCTGTTAAAGGCAATAAGAAAGATAAGAAGTGGAGATAATATGGATAGATTTATGAAAAAGTGTGTACTGAATAATGTTAACGATTGTATTGGTTTGCAATTAATATATTAAATTTCTCAAATTTCTTTCAGCGACGCGACGCGCAACGTCGACTGTGCGTGGCAACGTTACAAAAAGGAGAATTTTCGCTCTCGAGTTTAATCCTCACGAGGGGCGTGTAACTCGCCGTGTGAGCATATCGAAAAGGTAAGTCGACTAAACACGAGCAGATCCCCAATATACGCGGCACACTGAACGTGAATTGGGACACGACGTTTCCTCCGGCCCTCGGTCCCGGGGCTTCGGAAAATGGAAAAGAATATATTTAGTCACGTATTTACTACGGAAAGGGTTGAATAGCTGGCTCGTGGGATGCGAGCCGAGGGGACCCCGATCTCTCGCTACCAAATTCACGACCGTGCGCGACAGTCGTTGTTTATTTGTCTTCGGGGGTGAACGGGAGACGCCTCGAAAGCGGGGCGGAACAGGTTTCGCCTACTGCACTTCGATACGCCGACAGAGATAAAATCGCACAAAACGGCCACTGAAAAGCGCGCAATATTTGCGCGGAGCGGAAGGGTGTGGGCGTAAGTTTACGACGGCGTTTCGCAGATATTGAAAGTAAAGTCGACACTTAGTTCCGTAAATGTATATACGCGTCGCAAGACTCATCGTTAAGGGGATCCTAAAGCCGCTGGCGAACTCGATCAGTTTCGATAAGATAGGAGACGGAATTAAAAACGTCAATTATCGACATTTTTCATTCCAAGTTCTACTCAATCCGGGAAATTTATAGCCAATCGACTTGCAACTTTCACGAAAAAGCAGCAATTTTATTAGCTACACATTGTTCAGACCGAGATTTGGATCGAATTCTAGCACCGTCAATACCATGACTTTACTGACAATCTGATAGATAGAGTGGGTAAAAGTAGAGTGAAGCCAGTAAGCCGGAAGTCGCCATTTTACGATTGACAGCGTAACTGAGGCGCGTAAATTTGAACTACGGAAATGAACAATTAATTTTTTAACCGCTTCGCATTTTCACATTTAATACCCTTAAACATAAATGACGGAATGAATAAATGAATAATTTATTATACGCTAAGATTTAATCATACAAGAGTGAAATATACGAATAACAATTCTAAAATCCGCAAAGTTAGCAGTAGCTGAATATGTGATTTGCTATATACATATAATAACTAAGACAATAACACGAAAGTAGATGGAGTACATATATTTATTTCCATTTTAATTTGTCCATTTTGTGATATGTGTATCTCGAAAAGTTTTCTAATCATATAAAAATAACTTACCATTCGACTTTACCCGAATACCGCTAAAGTGAGTTTATATCTGTGTACATGTATGTCAGGCACTCAGGCGGTCCGGCTGGCAGCCTGGCTGCCGGAAACTGATCGTAAAATGGCGGAACCAATCAGAGAGGAGAACCAGCATTGGCTTCACTCTAATTTTACCCACTCTACTGATAGATGTTTGGCAGCGACCTCTCTCGAAAAAGCTTGCAACTATTTCTACATGCCATACCGCACTTTTTCTCTTCTCCTAGACCTGGATTTCTGGACTTGCGTTTATTAGAAGTAATCTCTTTTTCTAGGCTGTTAATCATAGTTCTAATTGCACGATATTGTTCTCATGTGTTATCCCTAGTACAGTATGCTGGTCTCATTTTGTATATATTTATCGTAGAATTCTTGTATCGAGCAAATATTGTCGTCAAGTGTACCAAAAATTAGTGAAATTTTTAATTTTTTTTCGGTTTTGATATAAAGTCGACAAGCATACTCTAGATTTTGCTGCGTACTTTAAGTCCGCAAAAGAGTTTTGCATTTCTATAAAGCCAATTAAAAGATTACTTCTAACAAAGAGTATCGATAAAACAGACGGTTTTAGGACCCCCTTAATAGCGAGGGTGCACGAATCTCTTTGGGAAAGACAAACGCCGCTGTCGGTCTAATAATAAAAATTGTTTCGAGATGAATTGCTTGTCAGCTCGCCCGACGTACGGTATCTTGATCTTATATCCCTCCAGAAATCACGCGATACAAGGCGAACGATGACTTCCAGTCTGGAGGTGGAAGAAGGTGCGCGATCGAAAGGTTCGGATAGACGCGTTTTCGCGCTAAGAGGTACATAGAAGAAGAGGCGACGCAGAGTATACCGTACATAAAGCGGATCATCGGGGCTAGCGTTGCACAAACCCCATCGAGAGGACACTGAACGAAGCTTTCAATTTGCCGTTACAAGGGATTACGCCCACGTTCGTGCCCCATTTACAATTCACCGGCAGCGCGTTGAAAATAAATTGCGACCGTGGTTGAAGGAAATATCCACCGGCATCGGTAAAGGGCGAAATAAAGAGAAGTAGTATTAAATTTTAAAAAGTCTGTTGCCACACGAGAAATTCATCTCACGTAATAAATCACGAGAGGATTGCCGCGTTTATCGCACGCTGGTGTATTTAATAACTTTCCCAGTTGCAAATTACATCGCGACGGTAAATATCGCGGAGAAACCGTATCGAGCGTAAAATTTGCGTTCTAATCGAGCGTTCGATTATTAACAGAATTAATTGGGTCACGTCTTGCACGATGACAATTGCAAGTCGCGTATAAAAATAGCGAGGAAAACACTTTGCGTCGAGATGTGGATTTTAGATACGTAATCGCGTGCTAAGCGAAAATGAATAGCATTAATCAAGCGAGATATATTGTATAACAATTTTGCGGAAACAATACAAAACTTTGCAGCGCCAAAAATGAAAGATAAATCGCTCGATAGCAATCACTGGTACGAAATGCGACCTACAAGCGCCATCAGGAGTGCGCGATTATATCGCGATAGGAAAAAAAAATTCCACTCATCGTAAAATTGAATTTCTGCTAGTCAGCATCAACTCAAAACGAACTAACAGCGCGCGAGATTGCATTTACGGTCGTTCGAAAGCGGCCGCTACCACATTGGTAGAAATTTCGGTTAGAATTTCGATTGTGCGGCCGGAATAGTTTGAATTCGAACGGCGCTATTATGTACATGCTTCCAGCTGCTAAACGCGCGCAAATACCAGCCGTAAAGTCTAACTCGAAACGGGTAAACAGGACCAAGCTTCTTACGAGCATAAATTCAGCTGTATTACGCATTAAACAAAGCGAAATAGTTTAACATCGTACACTCGTCAGAAGCTACAGAGACAACTTGTTCAAGCACAAGTCATTCGCGTTCATTCTTTCCCCCCTTCTGTCTCCGCAAAATGAATGAACGTTGACAAACGCCGAACGTGTTTAGTGGGAAAAAAACATTACCGTCGCTGCGGAATACGTTGAAAATAAAAATAGTAATTTTTGCCACGTTTCCATTCAGCCGTTGTGCAGATCAAGTCTGCCCGTAATAAAATGTTCAAAGAGTCCGAAGCAGTCTACCGAAGTAGCTATTTCGTGTTTTGATTCGAATCGTGCGCACACGTCGAGTAGGATATTAGGGGAAGAAACTCCAGCTCGTACACGGGCGAAGTCTGGGCTACTCCGATATCGGCGGAACGTCATACACTTTCGGAATACGCGCTTGCAGCACGCAGCTGCACACCGTGCGAGAGCGCGATTCAGTCTCCGAGCACGTATCGATGTCGCGCTTGTCTACGGCGTATGTATGCACAACCGATGCATCGCACATTCAACCTTTCGTATACGGTTCCTCCGGGTCGCACACACTCCTCGCAAGTGCTACGGAATATGCTCTCGCGGCCCTTCGCCTCCCTCTTCTTTGCACGAATTTCGTCCGAGCATCGGAGCCAGCGAACGATATAATAGCGGAACTACCTATGTATTCGGTCTATCGAGTAGATCGAGGTGTTGATGGTAGTGAGGGAACCGCTCGTGGAGGCGAGAAGCATGTGACGGTAGGTGTATACGCGAACACAGTCCGGGTCGCTGGCGTGAATTAACTGGGTGCAGCTGCAGCTTGCACGCCCATCCGCCCCGTTTTAGCTCTACCGGCGACAGAAGGAGCAAACGCGAGGGAAGCTGTGAGTGATCAAGGACGTGACGCGCTAAAAACGGGCGCGAGCCCCCGGCGCGGTGTAATTCCTTCGTGCCGCAATGTGAGACTCGGTAATGAGTTGTTACTCGGTACGTAAGGCTTCACCGAGAGAGCGGCAGCTTAGCTCCCTTAACGACCACCATAAGTTCCCTTAGGACCGCGGCGAAGGATGGAGAGAAAATATTGCCGCCGGTTATAACTTATTTAGCTCGTTATTTGCAGCAACGTAAGATTTATAATGGCCGGTTACGCGTGCGATAAGCCATAAATACGTTTAAGGGCATAACGAAACTCTTGCATTATGCTAATGAGTTGTGCTCGTGAAGGCGATTTCATTGAATAATGACAGCCTTCGTCTTGCAATCATATTTTAGATAATTGAACTCGTTTCTTTCGCAGTTAAAGCTTTGCATGTGGCACTGTCTAAAAGTCAATCGGTGTATTACAACTGAATCAGTGAGTATTCACTGTTTTCAGTCACGATAATCGTACAATATATTCTACAGTTGAAATGCATGCTAATATATTAATGTACTGTTACATAATTCTACGAAAATAAATACATATAATATTATATTTAAACTCTTGGACAAAATTATAATTCTCAATTATTTTTATAAACTACTACTCAGACTTTAATGCATTTGGCCCAAGTGGTTCACCTATTTATTGCCCATTTTCTAAAAAGAGACGTACAATCAGTTAAGCTACGATTAACCCAAGTTGATATAAAACCGACCTTTGCAATAGGGCAGGAAATACTTTTCGCTGAACACGTGTAATTATATTCGTTAGCGACAGTCGTACTGATATAGCTTATTTATGCGGCGCGATAAATAACGCCGCTATCTGCTACTCACTGGAGAGCCGACGCGTACAAAAATACGGAGCTAAATTAAAGCAAAGCGTGACGTAAAATCGCAAGATTATCGAATATAAGCGCGGTCGACGGTGGCCCGTTGTGCGGCGCATAAATGCGCGTTCCGGCTATAATGTTTGTAATTAGACGGCGTTATAAGGTGCAGAACGGACGGACAATTTGCGTCGGGTTGACCAGAAATTCGGCAAGTAAGTTATCGACTCGTAGATTATCGGGCTGACGTGCCCCGCATGCCGAGGAGTCCCCGACTTACCCCACTCGGGTTATT